ATTTGAACAGGTCCCATTTATTTATTTTGGTTGTTGCTGTGATTGCCTTTGGGGTCTTCTTCATAAATTCTTTGCCTAGCCCAATATCTATAAGAGTTTTTCCAACATTTTCTTCTAGAATTCTTATAGTTTCATGGCTTAAGTTTAAGTCTGTTATCCACCGTGAGTCGATTTTTGTGAGAGATGAAAGGTGCTGATCCTGTTTCTGTCCTCTACACGTGGCTATCCAGGTTTCCTAGCACCATTTATTGAACAAGAATTCTTTTCCCCAACATATGTTTGTGTCTGCTTTGTCAAAGATTAGATGACTATAGGAGGATGGTTTTATATCTGGGTACTCAGTTCTGTTCCATTGGTCTATGTCGCTGTTCTTGGGCCAGTACCATGCTGTTTTAGTTACGATAGCCTTCTAGCATAGCTTTAAGTCTAGTAAATTGAAGCCTCCCAATTTGTTCTTTTTACTTATGATTGCTTTTGCTTTATGGGGTCTTCTCTGGTTCCATATAAGGCATAGAATTATTTTTCCTAGATCTGTGAAAAATGATGGTGGTATTTTCATGGGGATTCCATTGAATCTGTGGATCAATTTGGGTAGTACAGACATTTTAACAATGTTGATTCTGCTGGCTCATGAGTATGGTATGGTTTTCCACCTGTTTACCTCCTCTGCTATTTCCTTCCTCAGTGTTTCATAATTCTCCCTGTAGAGGTCTTTTTACCTGATTAGTTAAATATCCTAGATATTTTACTTTCTTTGCTGCTATTGTGAAGGATATTGAGTCTTTGATTTGGTTCTCGGTTTGACTGTTGTTGATGTAATGGAATGCTACTGATTTCTATACATTGATTTTGTAACCTGAGACTTTGCTGAATTTGTTTATCAATTCCAGTAGTCTCATGGCAGAATCTTTGGGATTTTCTAGATATATGATCATATCTTCAGCAAAGAGCGATAGTTTGATCTCTTCTGACCCCATTTGGATACCCTTGATTTCTTCCTCTTGTCTGATTGCTCTAGCTGTGAGTTTCAGCACTATGTTGAGTAGAAGCAGTGATACAGGGCAACCTTGTCTGGTTCCAGATCTAAGTTGGAATGCTTGCAGTTTTTCCCCATTCAGTATGATGTTGGCTGTGGGTTTGTCATATATGGCTTGTATCATTTTTAGGTAAGTCCCCTCTATGCCTATTTTCTTAAGCATTCCTATCACAAAAAGGTGTTGAATTTTGTTGAATGCTTTCTTCTATCTGTTCAGAGGATCATATGATCTTTGTGTTTGCTTTTATTTATGTGGTGAATTATATTTATAGATTTGTGTATGTTGAATCATTCTTGCATCTCTGCAATGAAGTGCACTTTGTTGTGATGGATTATCTTTTTGATAAGCACCTGAATTCAGTTTGCAAGGATTTTGTTGAGAATTTTTGCATCTATACTCATAAGGGATATTGGACTGTAGTTTTCTGTTTTTATGTCCTTTCCTGGTTTTGGTACCAAGGCGATATGGGCTTCATAAAATGCTTTATGGAGGATTCCTTCCTTCTTGGTGTTGTGGAAAAAATTCTGCAGGATAGGCACCAGTTCCTCTTGGTTGGCCTGGTAAAATTCGGGTGTGAAACCATCTGGTCCAGGACTTTTCTTTTTAGGAAGGGTTTTTATTGCTGTTTCAATTTGAGTACTTGATATTGGTCTGTTCAGGAATTATATTTCTTCCTGGTTGAACCTATGGAGGCTGTGTGTTTCTAAGAATTTGTCCATTTCCTAAACATTTTCCAGTTTATGTGCATAGAGGATTTTATAGCATTCATAGACGATATTTTGTAGTTCTGTGGCATCAATTGTAATTTCTCCGTATTCATTGCTGATGGAGCTTATTAGAGTCCTTTCTTTTCTGTTTCTCATTAATCTAGCAAAAGGCATATCAATTATGTTTATTTTTTCAAAGAAGCAAATTTTTGTTTTATTAATCTTCTGTATAGTTTTTTGTTATCAATTTCATTTAGTTCTGCTCTGATCTTTGGTATTTCTTTTCTTCTGCTGGGTATGGTGTCAGTTTGCTCATCCTTTCCCAGTTCTTTGAGACAATTCACTAGATTGTTGATTTGTGATCTCTCTGTCTTTCGGATATAAGCATTTATGGATATAAATTTTCCTCTAAGGACTGCTTTAGCTGTGTCCAACAGATTTTGATATTTTGTGTCTCCTTTATCTATTAGTTCAAAGAATCTTTTGATTTCCATCTTCATTTACCCCTTAACATAATAATCATTCAGCAGAAGGTTGTTTAGTTTTCATAAATTTGTATAGAGATGAGAGTTTATGTTGGAGTTGATTTCTAATTTTATTACACTTTGGTCTGAGAGGATACATGGTATAATTTCTATTTTTTGAGACATGCTTTGTGGCCTAGGTTATGGTCAATCTTATAGAATGTCCCATGAGCTGATGAGAAGAACAGATATTCAGTGGCTTGGAGGTAGAATGTTCTGTAAATGTCAGTCAGGCCCATTTGTTCTAGAGTTCTGTTTAAGTCCACTGTTTCTTTGTTTATTTTCTGTTTGGAGGATCTGTCCTGGTCTGTCAGGG